GGGGGAGGCTACGGCGAGAGGACAAAGTCGAATTGAGGCAAAGTGATTGTTTTAGAGTCACAATCAACAGGCGAATGCATACAATCAGGCGCAGGCATATGCCAATTATGGTGGTTATGGAGCGTATGGTTATGGAAGTGGCGCACCAGGTGGACCGGGAGGCAGCGCGGCTGCGCAACAGCAGTACTGGAATTATTATCAGCAGTATTACAACAATCCGCAACTCGTTCAGCAGCAATGGCAGAAGTTGTTTTTATAACATGAATTTTTAATTCTTTTTTTATTTTTTTGTTTAACCAATAATTTTTATTTTTTATTTTCTCGCTTTTTATTTTTTCGCTGAACGCTGAACCAACTTATTTTTCGCTAAACGCTTCTCACTGAACCGACAGATTCAGCGAGAAGCAAATTTTTGCTATTAAGAGTTAATTTTTTTTGCCTTTTTGCAAGAATTTTGGTCTTTTTTTTCTGGTACATTGATAGGACTGTAAGTATCGCTGAATTGGTATCAAGTTGTATGGGGGGGATCCTGGGTTTAATGATGTTGCCGAAATACCCCTGCATTGGAGCCCGCCCTGCCAGGCCCTTCGGTCTAGAGCTGCAAACCTCTAGTTGTTTCCTTGTGGCTACAGGATGTGGTTTTGCGCCAGCTTTTTAAAAGCCGTTTAAGCAAGTGATATGCCTTTCATCAATTGCAAAAACTGAGGAACATGTTTTGCCCATCGAATTTTACTTTCTCGCATTGTCGCAGTGGTTATTTTTCAGAAAGTTGTATAAAGTTATATATCCCCCACGCTGATTGTTTTTCAGAAAGTTTAATTTGATTAGATAGTCAGAAAAAGGCACTCCAAGCATCCTTTGCTCCATTGCTCTCTCTCTCTCTTTCACAGCTTCGCTTTTTGTTTTCGACGATAACCTAAATTTTATGATTTTTTTTTACCTGTTCCAGCTATTGGCAGCAGCAGCAACAGCAGCAGCCGCAAGGTGGAAATCAGTAAACGACCCCGGAAATGCCGAACCGTTATCAGATTTGTGACAGTGAAACCGATAACTTGTGATTTGAACAGATTTTTCGTCCCATAAATTCGTTCTACAAATCTAAATTATTGATTTACTATTTCTCC